GGCGGCTGCTGCTGCACGAGCCGCGGGGACCACCCTGATCCAGGAGCTGTGCCGTTCTGTGCTGTGTCCCCGTGTGCGCGTGTTTGCCGTTTAACTCACACTGTCGCGCAGCCGTCACCACCACCCACCTCCAGAGCCTTTCCATCTCCCAAGACAGGAACTCTGTCCCCATGACGCGCCAAGTCCCCCTTTGCCAGAGACCAGCTCCAGTCGAGTTGGGGTCCTTGAAAAAGGGATAAGGAGCCGGCGAAAATAACAAACACAGGCAGAGACCTCGGGTCCTCTGAAGCACGTCCTCACCCTGCGGCTGTCACCGCTGTTGCAGCCGGAGCAGCTAAAGCAGCCGAAGCCGCCTTCAGACTGAAAACAGCGTTTTTATTTGTTACACAACACGGGGGGGTTAATGTGGGCATTTTAACCACATAAACCTTTAAAATTATTAAACCAATAGTTAAACGGAAACTTTTCTTAAAATTATGTCAGTTCTCATAAAATTAATAATCCACAAGGTTAAATAAAACTCGGTGGTCAGCCAATTCTTTCTGGCGATTATATCTGTTGTGGCCGATTAGTCCGTGACTCGCTGTTCTTGACGTTTGTCACCATTGTGTTTCTTTTCTTCTCTCCCTCGTACTAACCTTAAACTTATTACTACCAGCAAGCATAAATTAGTTAAACAAACCTCATATATATTGTTAACTTTTCTTTCTTTTTTTTTTTTTTTTTTTTGTCTTTTTCCGTGCCGGATCGCAACCCTCAGTGTCGCCCCCGTACCGGACCGGGACCGGCAACGGGATCGCAACCCTCGGTGTTGCCCCCGTGCCTCGCTCAGCCAGTGAGCGAGAACTGGTCTGTATGTGGGATCCGAACCCTCGGCGGGAGCGCCGCCACGCTTCCCAAGCGGCGCACTAGCACAGTGCGCCACCGGGCTGGCCCCACTTGGTATTGTCCTTTGATGCACAAAAGACTTGAATTTTTACCAACACCAACATCTGTTTTTGGTTGTCACTGTTGCTTGTGCTTTTTGTGGTATTTAAGAAACCACAGCCAAATTCAAGGTTATAAGATTTGCCCTTAAATTTGCTTCTAAGAATTTTATAGTTTCAGGTTTTATATTTACATTTTTGATCCATTTTGAGTTAATTTTGTATATGGTGTGAGGTAGGGGTCCAATGTTATTCTTTTACCTGTGAATATCCAGCTGTCCCAGAACCATTTGTTGAGGAGACTCTTTTATCCCATTGAACAGTCTTGGAACCTTGCCAAAGATCACTTGGTCACAGTTGTACAGGTTTATATCTGGACTCTCAGTTCTATCCCATTGAGCTATATATCTGTCCTCATGCCAGTACCACACTGTTTTGATTCCTGAAGCTTTATCATAAGTTTTTAAATTTTGAAATACATTTGTGGGTTTTTTTGGGGGGGTTGGGGGTTTTCTTTTCTTTTTTTCTTTTTAAAGATTGTTTTAGTTATTTGAGGTCCTTTACAATTTCCCATAAATGTTAGAATTGGTCTTTCCATTTATGCAAAAAATAAAATAAAAGCTGTTGGGATTTTGACAAGATTGTACCAAATTTATAGATTAATTTACCTTTACCAATTTCCCACTAAGCCCTCCATGCCATCTTCAAAAAATTAAGTCTTCCAGCCCACGAACAGTGGATCTACTTATTTAAGTCTTTAATTTCTTTCAGCAATGTTTTGTGCTTTTCAGTGTATAAGTCTTTCACTTTCTTGGTTACATTTATTTCTGCGTATCTTATTCTTTTTGATGCTATTACAAATGGAATAATTTCTTGATTTTATTTTCAGATTGTTGTGAGTATATAGAAATGTAACTGATTTTAATATGTTGATCTTATATCCTGCAACTTTGCTAAATTTGATTGTTAGTTCTGACAGACTTTTCTTTTTTGGTAAGATTTTCTATACATAAGATTATGTCATCTACAAATAGAAATCGTTTTACTTTTTCC